TATAATGAGCGTTACCGTACGTGTGATATAGGTACATTTTATCTACAACTCAGATTTTTGTTTTATGTATTCTATGGTTTTGATTTTTCACAACAGATTATTCGGTGAGCTTAAAGCTCAAGGCTGAAAGAAAATATTTTCTCAACAAGGACTTCAAGCAACACTATCAGCAGCATCAGGTATTAGTTCTACTTTTAATATTCATAAATAAAAAATGAGTTACGTAATGAGCCTATTAAATGAGTAGTTATATAAGGAGCTCATTACATCACTAGTACGATAATACAACTTATAACGTAACTCAAATAGGCTAAAATGGGTTACATTATCGTAATAAGCTCTCATAGTATGGATGGGTGGGTCGTATTTAAAATGAAAAAAATCATTATTACACAAAATCATACATAAAACCTAGCTTATTCTTTTTTTGACATTTCAATACAATTATAAATCGATAATTTATATTTTATTTTGTCAATTCATTGTTCACTATTTAATTATTTTATTTAATTAATAAATTAAAAGAAAAAAAAAGAAATATAATTATATTAACTTATAACTATATTACAATGAATTATAAAGTACCTACACGTAGGTATCTGGAATGGTCGCGCCGATTTATAAAATTGAGATGGTCCAAAAAAAATTTTATTCGGGGTTGGGAATATACCAATCCTCACAGCAATGAACTAGAAAGAGAAAAGTAGCCATCAGTATATAGCTATCTTGGACACACTAAGAGAGAGACAAATGCCATGTCCGACAACGGTGGGATCCATTCCTATTACGTGTAGTATACCGGGCGTCCCACCGAAAGCTGTCAATGGCCTATATCTGGAAAACGCTAATCGATAAAGAAGAAAACCCGTTTGAAGGGGGAACCAAAGCAAGGTACTTTTCAGGTCTCCCCGAACCACCACTCTGGCGGTAGCCACCCTAACCTCAAAATCTAAAATGGCACTATAGGTCATGTGATACCTTGTTTGAGTGGTTTTTTAATTCTCTAAACGAATCTGCATAAAAAAGTTATCTAGATACAATTTTAAATTGCCAGAAAATAGCCTATACTTCGAGTTAACATCTTTGCCCCCTTGAGGAGGTGAACACTGTCAGATACAGTGAGAGGAAAGGGATTCGAAAAAATAAAACCTTGAAGATTTTTTCAAAATTCTCCATGTTATTAATTTTGTATAAAATCGATCTTAAATCACATTTATCTGTTCCACCAGATCAAACGAGGTTTTCATCAAAATTAGACTCACATTTAAATCTGGATAATTTTTTTTTACAGGTCCATTTAGAAAATTCAATCACATGACCTAGTACCATTTAGGATTTTGAGGTAAGGGTGGCTACAGCCGGAGGTAAAGTTCGCGGAGAGCTGAAAAGTACCTTGTTTTGGTTCCCCCTTCCAACCCTCCAAACAGGTTTTTTTTTTAACGATTACCGTTTTCAAAATATAGGCCATTGACAGTTTCCGGTGGGAGACCCGGTAGGTATAGTTCATTCATTGATGTATTATTATACAAACGCTTTTGTTCCACTCATTCCTTGTCTTTCCATCTCATTTTCTCTCGTACGGGATCACCGACATGTGGCCGCGGCTCCCAGACGCGGGGAGGGGATAATAATTGCGTTCACGGACGCGTAAAATAACGAACTTCGGCGTCGTCTGGCAAGGATTAATCCTCGATAAAACCGTCTCGCACTAGGTTTGTTCGATTAGCAACTTTTTTCTCTTCAATGTAAAAAAAAAAACGAGTTTCGAATTTTTTATTATTTTTTTGCATTTTGGGAGCGTCTGGCAAGGCTTTAAACCCGTGAAATCCGTCTGGCATTATTACAGCCTTGTTAATGGCACATTTTAAAATGATATGCCGCAAAAATTGACCATCGGCAAGTATTTCGAATTTGGTGATTTTTTTGATGACTAATTAATTATGCCTACGACAAACTTCCCCACTACATGCTGTCAGACTACGGTTTTTGATCACGGAGGATAAAACTACATCGTTTAAGCAAGAAATTGTCCATCGGCAACTTTTTACGCTAAAAGTTCACTGGCTCTTAGACTATTATATAATCATTAGTATACGATTAGTTCTTTATGTAAGATTGTATTTTGTATTTATTTACATTGTTTAGAATTGATAAGTTTATTATTGAGGGACTATTTGTTGTGGCGCGCGTAGGATGTGTGGGTGTCGAATCGCGAGTTATAGACATGAACCAATACGTAAACTGCCAATACCAGGAATATATAGCTCGACTCAGCATAATCATAGAATAAGCATATTTTGTATTTTATTATTTCATGGGAGCTTTTTATATAGAATAAGTTTAGTCTTTAGTCACACACTGTACCAGTAAGTTAAGTCTTATTAAAATAAATCTTTTTCTAAAAAGCATTCTACTGGTTTGAGTATTTAACTGGCGCTGCGAGCAGGATAGTGTTACAAGTCTCTTTATCGTTTTTCGTTGAGATTTGGCGTATTTTTAAACCTTGAGCAGTATACCAAAAAGAACTTCAAATACTCCTAGCCAAATCCTTCGGCCCCTCTATTGTGAAGCATTGAGGCCATCAGACCAAGCACAGAAAGAAGAAAGAAACTCAACCGGGTAAAACTGTAACGGGATGATTTTTCCTGGGCCAACATAAAAGGAAATAGCGTATTCGCCTCTCTGAGTAGCCTACCTTCGTGGAGCCACTATTTTCTATCCAATAGTTATGGCCACACTTTTCATCAAACTTTTCATTCTTTCCAGAATCATTGAGTTAGAGATTGAATAATAGAATTGATTTCCTTTTAGTAGGGTTGAAATAAGGTCAATGACCGGTACTAACTTAATTTGAATTACTCCCATGCCACAACTACCATCAAAATTCTCCAAAACCTTTCACCTTGGAGTTTTGACAGAACCCTTTTAAAGGACATTGAAGGGACAAACAGAGGTCATTCAGGTCGAGGACTTTCCACAATTAAGTGTTCGGGAAAACTTCTCAGGCACATTTTGCCGATTTCTGAGTTGCCAAGTTTTCGCTCATAAATCTAGGGTGGCTGATCCGTTATTTTAGCACCCAATCGCCTTGTGCGGTTTTCTTTGTGAGCCGAAAAAGAGCAACGTGTTCAATTGTTTGTTCCTAAAGGCCAAAGTATTTTGGTAAGTGCTTTTTCTTATTCGTTTTCCCTGTGTTACTCTATTGCCTATGTAGAAGCCTAGTTTTCTGTTAATTATATGGTTAAATTCCGAATATCGGACATACCTACCTATCGGTCCACGCTCTGTCTCATAACGGCCATTTGTTTCAGGCCTTTTAGACGTCACGCTTTATTCATCACGTTTCATTCGTCACGCTCTAGTACTTCACTGAGTGAAGAGTTAAGCGTTAAGCTTACTGTATATATTATGTAGTCGTACCTCCTGTCTTCAGCTTCCGCTGGACAATTGGAAGCTTTAGTGCCTTCAATTACTGAACTTCAGTGCCCAGGGCCAGTTGCTTCTTGTCACGACCATGATCCAGTCCCAGGCCATCGGAAACACTGGAAGATATTAATCCAATCCTTCAGGTTCCCCTGAAGAGATTAGGGACTACTCAGATTTGATAAGTGTGTTGTATTGTCTTGATATCTAGAGCCTATCAAACCTTACCAACCCCTTGTTGGAGTGAATCACCACAACGACGCAGTTCTACTACAATATTAAATTACCCTTCAGATTATGTGTTATTTCAATTTTAATTAATTATCTATATTACCTTTATCATATGAAACTTGCCATTCAGGTTATGTATTGTTAGGTACTTCAATTTTATGTATTTATCTATATTACCTATTTTATCCCATAATATTAAATTTGCGCCTCAGGCTATGTATTGTAACTTCAACTTTAAATAATGATATTTCTCTTATCTATATATATAAAAATTAATGCCACTTTTCGTTGTAATTTTATAACTCAAGAACGGGCTCACCTAGCCAAACCAAATGTTTAGGCTTTGTTCGGACTATTTATTAGATGGTTTATGTGAAGTTTGCACAAAATCGGTCGAGCGGTTCTTCATTTATCACATTTTTGGATAATCAAATTGAAACCTTTTTCAGCGTTGACAGTACCAGCACAGCTTACTACAACAACCAGCTCGGTGACTCTACTGGCGGGAACGGTTTGCGCCGATCTTTGCGCGCATTACTCTAGCTCCGCCTTACAGGGTAAAACACGGCAGCACACGGCTCTTCAGTGTCTCGCTTGCCGATATTTATTCGTGATAATCGTGCCGCGCCATAGACGTAGTTACGATTATATTTGCGAATTTGTTTTTTGGTGATTAGTTTTATCAAGATTTTGAGTTTTTTGTATTTGACAAATATGAGTGAAAAGAGAAAAACAGGACAAGTTTGTGCAGTTAAAAGCTGTCACAACAAAAAATATAACTGCAACAAGAGATTCTTTAGCTTTCCCAGGCAACCCGATAGGTGAGTAGCTCCAAACTTATTATTTCTAAATGAATAAAAATTATTATTATACAAAGTCTAAAGTTGCATTTATAGTGTTAGTATCAGTAACAGTAATAGTAAAATATTACAACACGGCCGACCGTTAAGCCATTTATAGTTCACTTAACAAACTTATTAGTAAAACTTAAGAAATGGTTATTTTCATATATCGATGGTATCAATACAATACCTCGTATCTCCACAATTTTTGAAAATGTAGGTTTCTGTTACTTTTGATTAAAACGTAGGTAATGATTCGAAAGATGGCGCCAAAATGACCATAATATATTAATAGGTCCGTGATCTGTCAAAAGAAAAATGCAATACCTCGTATCTCCAATAAGATATGGCGGATGTGAGTGACTTGTGAAATTCGGTGAGTTTTGAATGTCGTTTTTCTATTATTATATCGAATTTATTTAAGTGAAATAATGTCGATTATATTATTTCATGTTTGTTTATCAAATTTACATTAAAATTTCAATAGATTTGTACTGTTTTAAGGAGAAAATTGGGAAACTATGAGACCTTTGGAGATAGGTGTTATTGAATATTACATTTTTTCTCGCATTAAGCTGGATTTATAGTGTCAGTATCAGTAACAGTAACAGTAACTTAAAACTTAAAACTTAAGAACAGATATGAAAATAACCATTTCTTAAGTTTTACTGATAAGTTTGTTAAGTGAATTATAAATGGCTTTACGGTCGGCCGTGTTTTAATATTTTACTGTTACTGCTACTGTTACTGATACTGACACTATAAATCCAGCTTTATGGTTGATACGTGTTTATGTTTTTTCAGCAAAATAGTATAATAATTTTAAAAAAATTCCGAAACGTTTGTAATAATATAAAATTTATCTGTATCTCTGTTTTGAATTGGGTATAAAAATTGGCTTTTGCAATAAGACATAAATATTAAATGTCAACTGAGCAATTATGGTTTTCCAAAAAGTTTTATGCGAGTTTCCTTCTTTCAGATAAAACGCATTTTTGTTAAACTTCAACATGTCCGCCAGAACTAAAAAAAATTTATCCATGTGCAATACCAAGCTAGAAACCCAAAGTTGTTCCATGCCAAAAAATAAAAGCTGTGATACTAAAAATGTTATTGGAGAGCCTTTGACACCTATGACAGTTGAAGATTTTGGACAAAAATTAAATAGTAGTCTTGATAGTGAAGAATCCAATACAAGTGAAGAAAATAACAATGGAACTAGCGAAGAAGATAACAATTCAACCAGCGAAGAACCTGAAGAACAATCTGATGTTGGCCGAGGAACAAAACGGAAGTTACATCAGAAGCGGCGACTTTTAGGAGAAGCCTATTTAGGCTACCGAAGACCAAAAAACCAAAAACGAACATTCCAGGATACAGAAAGAAATGCGAGAGTAATGGGACCTATGTGTCTATCGAACGCTTGCAAGAGATCAAAAAAAAGGTGGTGTCAGGACTTGAGCGAAATACAGAGGCAGCAGATTTTTAAAAATTTCTGGGGAAAATTAAATAGCTGGGAGCAAAAAAGAGTTTATGTCTTGAATTTAGTTTACAGAAAAGAAACTGAGAGAAAAAGGACAACCAATGAATCTTCAAGGAGATCCAGTTCACTGTTTTATAAATTAAACATAGAAAGCAAATATGTTCCTGTTTGCAAAAAAATGTTTTTAAACACCCTGGGCCTTAAAGAGTGGACAGTCCAAAACTGGGTTAAAAATTCCGCGTATGGCACACCTGCACCTAGTAGATCCAGCCAACCTCGATGCAAAAACGAAGACTCAATTCAGTTCCTTATAACATTTCTAGACGAGCTTCCTAAGTTACCAAGTCACTACTGTCGGAAGGACACCAAGAAACTGTACTTAGAGCAAACTTTTACAAGTTTTGCAGATCTCTTCAAATTATATCAAGAACATTGTAAAAATTCTCAAAAGCAGGCACTTTCAAGAAACACGCTCATGAAATATGTGAAAATCAAAAACATAGGCATATTTAGTCCTAGAAAAGATCAATGCGACTTATGTGTAGAGTATCAAGCTGGGAATTTGGACCAAAGTGTGTGGGAGAAGCATAGAAATGAAAAGCAGAGAGCCCAAGAAGAAAAAAACAATGATAAAGAGCTCGCCATACTTGACGAATGTCACGTCATTTGTATGGATTTACAAGCCGTGAAAACTTGTCCATATTTACAAGCCAGCTCATTGTACTTTAAAACTAAGCTTTGCTGTCATAATTATACCGTTTTTGATCTCAAAACCAAGGATGCTGTTTGTTATTGGTTTGACGAAACTGATACCGACCTTCAGGCTTCGACATTTGCGTCATTATTGGTGGATTTTTTAAAAAGGAAATATTTGGAGAATAATACGAACCAACAAAAACCTATCATAATTTTCTCTGATGGTTGCACCTACCAAAATCGAAATGCGGTTTTAGCGAACGCTTTACTTGCACTTTCCTATCAGTATGATGTCAGGATTATTCAAAAATTCTTGGTAAAAGGCCATACCAATATGGAATGTGATAGCGTACACGCAACCATCGAGAAAAAGTTGAAGAATAAAACCATTTCAATTCCTAATGACTATCACCGAATTACAGCGGAAGCTCGAGCAAATCCAAAACCATTTGAAGTTGTCTGTCCGACTTTTGAGTTCTTCTATAACTTTAATGAAGACCTTGTTTACGAATCCATTCGTCCTGGAAGGAAACTGAACGAACCTACTGTAACTGATATTCGAGCTCTAAAATACGAAAAAGGAGAAATCCAATACAAACTTAGTTTTGAGGACAACTTTTTTATACCTTTACCGCAGCGTCCCAAAAAAGCAATCAAGAAAATTGAAGAATTCCGAAAACTATATACTGAAAAACTTCCAATTACCCAAAAAAAGTACACCCATCTACAGGAAATAAAAACCAAGCTTCATAAAAATTATTGGCCATTTTATGATAATTTGTTACATAAATAGTTGAAAGACCATTTTTTCATTTTCATTATTTTTTGTCACCTTAATGTAGGTACCTACTAGAATATTGTCAATTATTTTGAAATTTTAATAATAAGCCACATAATAAAGTTCTTGTTTGTGAAATTCAAAAATATTGTTTTATTGCAATACCAAGTATCTCCCTTCTTTGACAAATATTATTGTGCAATACCACCTATCTCCATGAAAAACTAAAGATTCGATAATTATTGAGAAAAATCTTGCGAGATAGTTAATAAAATGCCCACTAATCAGATAGGAAACATGCAATTTCGAAGCAACAACCAGTAAGATTTCTAAAAGCTTTTTTTCATTCCTGTATAATAACCTCCCATGGAGATACAAGGTATTGTATTGACACCATCGATATGTTCTTAAGTCTTAAATTTTAAGCTACTGTTACTGGTACTGACACTATTATAAATCCAGCTTACTGTTTTTTTTTTGACATATAACGAGGTTTTGGAAAAAACAGAATAATTTTTAAAAAAATTTCAATTAATAATGCTAACTACCTTTTTTTTCATTTCGTTGCGTTTTGCAATTAGTATGCCTATAATATTATGTACCTATTCTTTCTAATAACAACTCCAAGCTCATACGCTAATTGAGAAATTTTAACATTAGTGTTTAGCGCTGTAAGTTCAAAAATAACATGGATTTTTCTTTTATGAAGGGCAAGGATTTGGACAATGAAAGCTAACAGACAAGATCTGTCTGATAAACTTGATAACTTGCACAAAAGTTACAGGCTTTGTGAAGACCATTTTGAGCAAAGAATGTTCACAAATCATCTTCGTGAACGTTCAAATGCAAATGCACTCCCAACATAATTTCCATCACTTGAAGGAAGTTCCAGAGGAGATATTGCTGCTGACCATTCGTATTCTAGGCCACTGCTTCTTCGAAAATACGGGTTCTTGAGCATAAAGTGTTAGTTCCAGCACAGGTTCCAGCAACAATAGAAACTCCACAAATTATTACAGGTAAATACTATATAGACAGGTGTATATTAAGATTATTGAGCAGAATCCTATGGGTAAATATCTCTCCTAAAGCCTAGTCAAGTAACAAACAGGTAAGTAGGTACCTACCCAAATTTCTGTGAAACACAATAATTGATGCGTTTGTTAATTAAGAACACGACCTGACCATTTATTAGCCTACCTGCTATGCATTTATTTTAACATTTTCAGCTACCCATTATATGAGTAGGGAATTTTGTGTGGCTAACTACTGATGTTAAGAGGCCTTTACTCTAAATGGAAATAGCCTCTTGCATATTTTCTTGCCCACACTTCATGTTCCGCTCATTTATTGAAACAGATATTGACAGAAGCCATTCAAAAATTAGACACCATTGGCCTTCACGTTTGTGCTATAACATCTGATATGGGTTCTAACAATATACAATTATCAGGTCTTTTAGGAATTTCACCAGATAATACAGGGTTTTATATTCAAAGTCACCATCTATTTTATATATTTGATGTTCCACATTTAATAAAAGCCCTGAGAAACATGCTAATGAAATATGATTTTTACATAGATGGGAAAAAAATTTCGTGGCAATATATAGAAAGTTTTTTTGAGCAAGATAGTAAGTTTCCTGTGGAGGCAGCCCATAAACTAACAGATTCCAATATGAAACCGACAAATTTCGAAAAAATGAAGGTAAAACTTGCGACCCAAGTCTTCAGCCATTCTGTCTATGTCGGTATGACTTTTTACATTCGATTTGGCTGTCTTCCTGTAGAGACCACTGAAACTGCAGAATTTGTTGAAAGAATCGATAAACTATTCGACATTTTAAATTCTTCGCAAACCTCTCCCTCAAAAAAATTTAATGCTGCATTTAAAAACGAACCCTACCAAATTGAATTTTTGACAGATTGTTTGAATTTTTTTGAAAAAATTGAAGTACGTGACAAAAAAAAATTAAAAATCACAAAAAAATTAAATGTATCAATGGTATCAAAATTTCTATAAATAGTACCCTGGACTTATTTAACTACTTACGTGATAGTGCCGGCTTCGATTATTTATTCACGAAAAAACTCAATCAAGATCCCTTGGAAAACCATTTTGGACAAATAAGGAGGGAAAACGGTAACTGTGTTAATCCGACGCCTATACAGTTTCACAGGACCTTCCGAAAATTACAATGTGCAAACTTGCTTCACTCAGGTACAGAAAACTGCGAGGCAGATTCTGATTCAATGTTACTTAGACTTGAAGATTTTACAGACGTAACGACTGTTTTTGAGGAACAGGAACACATTACTTCCGAGCAACCCGATCAAAAAATCATTGCGGATTATTCAAAAGATGATCTGTTACAAAAAAATTTTGTTCGTTACGTATGCGGCTATCTCTTCAATAAGTGTCTTAAAATTCACTCCTGTGAAACTTGTATCAAATACAGTAAGGATCATACCGAATTAGACGATTCATCTTTTTATTGCTTCCTCAAAGCATATCAAAATACAGAAAAGACAACTTTTGGTAACTTAAAAATGCCCAATGATGCTTTTGTTGATTTTATTTGTAAAATAGAATTAATATTTCAAGAAAATTTTGAACATTGTATAACATAAATAATATTTGCAGCAAATTTGTAGAATTATGTAGTGTATTACATTTTAGTCATCCATGTGAAAATTTTCCCTGTCTATTTGTTATAAAATTGTATTTGAGAGTAAGGCTGTATTTTGCCCTGAAAGCAATCAATTGTAATTTTAAAAACATAAATAAAAACAAATTAATTATATGGAGGCACCAATAATATATAAGCATTTCTTTAAACCTCTTCAAGTCTTATAATATATGTATTGTTTCCTTGTAATTTGTAAATAAAATATCATTATTCGTCGTATATCGCAATAAAAATATAAGTAGGTACATACTTAATTTTTGTTTTTATTTTTGGTTAAGAAATAATAATATACCTACCCTAACTAAAGTCTGTTTTTTTTTTAAAGATTAAAGTCAAAATGACATTATGTTGGCAATACAATGTAAAATTGTCAAAGCTTTCAAATTTTTATGTACAAAAGGCTTGTGTTGCCAACAAAGTTACTAAATTTTTGACTTGGGGAATTATCTTTAAAAAAAAAACAGACTTTAGATTTCGAGTAAATATAGATTTTTATTATTCACCTTATAGGTATATCTACTTATAGGGTACCTAGGCACATCTTTTCCAAAATTGACAAATTAATATAAAAAAAAAAAAAATACATCTCTTTGAATATATAAAATTGATAATGACAATAAAATTTATTCTCTGTAATAGCTTTGTAAGCTGAATAATTTAAAAAAATTGTTAAAAAAATAAATCCGATACTGTTAACACCTATTTAAAATAAAAGAATAATTTTAAGTCCGTCCCTGACTTCTACCCGCGGTGCGAGAGAGATAGCAAGCGTTGAGCGAATTCTACCCAGATCAAACGTGCCGCCTCGGGGTCCCCGAGCTGGTTGTTGTAGTAAGCTGTGGTACCAGCATGTTGTTATGTCATTAATGTGGTCATTTCATTTTGGACGTGCTTCGATTAAAATAAATTGTCAGCAAAAATTATTGCTTTGTCTTTATATTTTTAAACATATTGTTGAGTGCATTCATACAAACGGTGAGTCTTGAATGGTTCAAATCTTTATATATAAAACACAGTTGTGTTGGTTCTAGCACTTATAACTCGAGAACGGCTGGACTGATTTCTATGATTTTTGCTTTCTTAGATTTGTCTTTGTCCCTAATAACATAATAAATCGAAAAAGTCGAAAAAAAAAAACAAAAAAAAAACTACCTCTTTTACTTATTTATGAAAAAAATTCACTAAGCCCGCATACGGCGCCATCTCTTATAACCGATACCAATTCATTTTCATTGCAAACGATTTTGTATACGGTGCCATCTCTGATACCTAGAACGAAGCTCGCCGTTGCGCGGTAATTTCATTGCAGATACAGTAGAACAATGCTGCTCATTAACTGGAGCTATTCCGAACAGAACTATTCCACTATTCCGATCAGATACAGTGGTTCAGAAAGAGTATATCAAATAGAATAGTGCAGATAGAGTAGAACAGATGGAGTAGTGCAGTGCAGATAGAGTGAAACAGGGCTGCGCTGGAGATTTTTTTTTGTTTTCTTTACATAGTTTGAACATTTCTGTGCCTGAGTTTATTTATTTGGTGGTACAATTTACAAGAATGATGCCCACAAGCTGCCTAAAAAGGGATGATGTAAAATTTTAATTTTAGGTGACTTCTGATCCAGAAAGTAAACATTAATTTTCTTCAACCAAAGCCAAATTCACCATCGAAAAAAACTGAATTTAATTCAGCTAATAGATACGTTAACACAACATTTAATAAGTATTTTTAAGAATTCAGAGGCAGTACGAAGTTCGCCGGGTCAGCTAGTATCCCATAAATACATGCTGCACTGAATACAGGAAAATACTTGTACACTGGGGATAAATTGCCATTTACGAAGGTACAGCTTTAGTAAGCTTGTTTAATAATTTACATTTCAGGTATTATTGCTGTTATAAGTGTTATACAATACTCTCTATTTCTCTATTTAGGAACTCAAGTTGAGTGTGATTAATAATTATTGTAAATACTATTTTTAGAACGTAAGGTTAGTTACTCCTACCTAGTCGATTTATTTTGTTCTTGTTCTGGTTCTAGTGTTCATAATTTTCAGTGTTCCAGGGCGTTCGGAAAACCCACTCCGAACCTGCTCTAGAGTAAAACCTATACTGTTCTGGTTCTAATTAAAAACCCGTACCTGATTGTAGCAAAGCGTTTCACTTCTGTCCTTCCTTCTTGTTTACTTTTATATTTCAGGTTGTGCTGCTATAGGTCCGTAGAAGTTTCCTGCTTTCGTTATATCGGTTGACTTCGTGTACTGCAGGGAAAAGCAGGTGGCACTCTATATCTAATTATTTAATTGATCCACACCCTTCTCCGCATT